TTTATTTCCAAATCCAAAACTGATTGTTGTTTACATCTTGAGAAGCAGAAGCAAGATTTAAACCATACGAAACATTCTAACTTGTCCAACTCATTGCTGGTTGACAGTGGAAATGGACTTTCAGAGGTACCAATTGATCATCGGCAGTCCTTCCAGTTGCTACCAGGTCATTTCTATCTTTTAAACATTCTACCATGAATCATCGAGAAATTTATATTGATCACATGATCCTGATATTGATCCTGTATCATCTGTGATGCTCTGAGCGTCACTTTATTTTAGGACGCTTTAAGAACTTGAATAATTAGGATTACTTAACGGGCTTTTCTTTCTCTTTCATGTTTTTACACTTTTTTTGGCCCCTAAAAAATAGTAATGCGGTAGCACAGGCTATTTTTTCTCAATTGACTTTTATGGCGTTGAACTTCGGCAATGTGACAGGTAGAATTCAAATACAGTTAATTGTGGATGTTCCTCAGGATACTGAGCTAGTACAACCACTGGATGAAACCTGTATCTGGCGGCAAGCAAGAGGAGCAGCTACTGAAGTCTCATTAATTGAGGATGTGCCAGGATCAGTAGATAAGGTTCTTGAGGAGGGAAGAGGGTCTTCTTTGGTGAAGTAGTTTGGTTCTGTATTTGAAGTTGCTTATGATTTCAATTCTTGGTTGCAGGTCGGGTGGGTGCGCAACTGTGGTATGATGAATTGGATAATCTGCCTCTCCTAAACCTGAATCAGAGCAAGCTGTTCCAGATGATAATCTGAATGATAATTTAATGGTGGAAGATAAAGAAATTTGCATCACCTGCAATGTCAATACTAGCCCTGGAACCAGTGAGGTATAAATATATTTTTGAAGCAACAAAGGAAGATGGCAATGATTCTGTTCTTTTTCACCGTTATTTTATTTCTTCCTTGTGTTGTTACTGCTCGAAAAGCACTGGTATTAAATTTTGACTGAGATAATGCATTCAACTTCGACTTGAAGTCTGATTTATGATAACTACTTTTCAGTCTATATTGTTTAGCTGACTGCTCCTTACCTCTGAAGTTCATTAGTGGGATTTGGGTACATTTTTTAAATTAATAGATGTCTAGATTTCTTTGGAATAGGTTTTGGTTGTCTAATGGAATATCGTTTCGGTTTGCCACAGCATGATAATCATTGTTTGTCACCAATATAACTATTTTGTTAACACCTGTGAGTCTGTGATTTTGATGGGAGACGGTGTATTTCTAAATGATTTTTTTATTTTGATCCAAGTAGTATTTCTAAATGAGTTTAGTGGTCTCTGTTGATATGCAATTGTTTATGCTTTATAACCTATTACGTTAGTAGAAACATAATACCACGGCGATCATGTTGGTTGTCTCCAAGAACAAGGGTCATGAAAGTCGTTAAACCTTCTCTATGTTAACTGAGTGACTTAGTTTTATCATTTCATGCCACTGTCTATATTAGATTTTTTGTATACAGATCAGTAAGCTTTTGGAATTGCTGCATTTCCTTGTACTACCTCCCGCTGTAAACTAGATCTTAACCTAGGACCAAAGGTAGCATTTGCATTAGGTTTTACAGCGGCCTTGTGGGTGTTAATTTATGGAGTGCTGTTATTTTAGCAGTCTTCTACACATATTGACAAACTTTGACAATGATCACGGAGAAATTAGAAAGACTTCAATGATAATATCTTTCCTTTTACACAGGTTATTATTTACACGGTGCTGTACTTGAAACTTAGAAGAGACCCGAATTCACAAGAAGAAAACCCTGAGATTCATGCTGGAAGGATACTGGATATCATGAGCTCTGGGAGGTATGTGAAGATGGAGAGAGATCTGTGGAGTGAATTTTTATCAAAATCTAAGGGGGACTTGAGAGATCTCATTTTCATGAAGCCACTGCACATAAGGATAGAATTGCATAGTTTGGATCATCCAAAGGCTGAAAATGAGAGAGATATCATCTTGACAGACTCATCTATCCAGGTAAAAGTATCACTCAATTGACAGTAGGTAGATTCAAGAGCGATGGCGCAAACCTCTCGCTCTCTCTCCCCCCCTTCTCTTCCCTGGGGTATTGCTTTTTTTGTGTGTCTGTGATCACTAGTTAGCGTTTTGATCCAGAGGTGTAAAATAGTACTCCTCCGGTCCTTATTATAAGACCCAATTTGACTTTTTATTTAGTCCTAATTATAAGACCCAATCCATTTTCTCTTTTATATTTATGCATTTTTTTCCAAGATAATCCTTCTAATAATGATAGTTTAGCCAATATACTTAATTAGCAAGGATATTTTAGGAATAACAACACTTATTTATTATAAATAACCAACTTAACTTACTTCCTTAATCTCCTCAAATAAGTCAATTGGGTCTTATAATTAGGACCGGAGGAGTATTATAGGAAGCCAAGTTTACTTGCGCATTGTTCAGACAATTCGATTCTAATTTGACTAGAGTCAAGCAAGAGATGTACACCAAGGCAACAATACGAGATTATGGAAAGTTTTTTTTTTTTTTTTTTTGGTGAATATGGAAAGTTATATTTGATGTGCATGTCTTCATGTGATTTATCGACTTGGATTACATATTGTTCTGCATCTGTTCATGTTACTTTAAATTTTGACAGAAAAATAACTTTTTAGGATTTTAACATAAAAAAATCACTCAAGTGTAACTGGAATCCTTTCATTTTTCTTTTCTACCCTTTTTTTCCCTCTTATCATCTCAGCTCAATTATAGATTGAAATTTGAGCGGTTACGATTTAATATTTTATAAATTTATAAATAAAATGTTAAATTATTAAAAAAATGAATGCTAAATTTTAGTTAGGACATTTTAAAACTGCAATGAAGAAGTATTTTAAAATAATTATTCAACAAAATATTAAATTTGGACTATTTGAATTTTAATCTATTAATTGGGATTGGAAATAGACAGGAAGAGAAAGGTAGAGAATCCAAGTTCATTATACTATTAATTTTGGGTGAATTTTAGCAAGGGATTAATTATGGGACATAATTTAAAACTAGGTGCAAAATATTTTGAAATTTTATTGCAAGATCGAATGACTATTTGAGAATATGTTTTTGAGCTCTATTCTTAGTGGTGAGTGGCTCGTTGGTCACCAATTGTCGCGGCTGCTACTAACGGAACGGATGGTGTTTGTGATCACATTTGGGCGATCCCAAGTGGTAAAAATTACTCTTTCATTTTGCTCTCACGGTAGGCAGAATGACGATGTGGTGAATAAAGCCATTATGTAGCATTAGTTATTTTTTAATATTTTTCACGTTCCCATTTAACCCTCCTTCTGCATGCATATCTTCTCCTCCATTTGTAGCCCAAAAAAAAAAAAAACAAGAATAGACTTCATGATTTATGAGGAAAATATTATTTGCTTGATGTTGGCTATCCAACACTAGAAGGATATCTTGGTCTGTATAGCGTTATCACCTTTCAGACTTCAAGTTGACAACCAAGATTCAAAAATGATAACAAAATCTTCAATTATTATCATTCAAATTTGAGGTGCATTGTAGAAAGGACTTTTGAGGTGGGAAAGAATAAGTTTGAAGTCTTAGACAAGATGCTCAAATACAAGTATAAAACTCAAGTCCAAATTGTTTGTGCAACAATGGCTATCCATAATTTTATTAAGAGAAATTCTAAATTGATAGAGATTTCAGATGAGCTGAATATGAAAGTATAATCGAGGAAGACAATGATTATCAAGTTGGTGAGACCCTAGTCAAATTTACCTAGATCAATACAAATAAATCATATTCATGACACAATCAGAGACCAAATTGTATGGAACATAGCATTCATTTGGTTATATTTAATTAGGTATTTTGGTATTTTTCAATTTCTTCCTAATAATAAATTAATTTTTCATTTTTAATAATTTTATTTTCAATATTTCTTTTACAGCGACCCACAGATTGCTTTATATGAGTGCACATTTGCCCCCCTAAGTTTAAAATCACAGTGATTTTGTATCATGTCATTAAAAACCTAACGTTGATTATTAGAAAAGTGACACTAACCATCAATATTTTAATGATAATGGGTAAAATTGCTATGTTTTAAATTTTTGAGGCAAACTTATATTTAAAAAAAAATTTAGGTGCTTAATGCTCATGAGTGAAAGCATCTACACAAACACAGTGATCAACCATGGGCTTTACAAATTGTAAGATAAGGCAAGCTGTTAAAGAAGCAACTTTGATATGCTTCTTCTTGAGACCCAGCCCAGCAAAGCCCAATGTCAAGTTATGGGCGTCATTTACGCCCATGTGTAAGTGGTAGGCTCCTACATAATGCGGTCTTTCCTCGTCATTGGTAGAGCTAGGAATCAGGACCGGCCCGGCCCTCTAGGGTTGGTCCTTCAAGGCTGAAAGGCTTAAAAGGACCAGGCCTCCAGGGCTGAAATTTCAAAAATACTGCGATTTGCTAGGCCCAGCCTTTAAGCTACAGGATTCAGGGTCGGCCCGCGGGCTTTTGGCCCGTTTAAGAAAAAAATGTTATTTTTTACATTTATCATCTTTTAATAAAAAAATAAAAAAAACCAATGAAATTATTAATAAAAGATATAAATATGAATAAAATTAAGTCACAAATATAAAATATCCTCATATATAAATATCCATCAACATCCAAAAACATCTAAAACATTTATTAACAAGATAGCAACATCCAAAAGTTTTATCTATAGTGCAACTGTATAATAAATAAACACTATTATTAGTCTCTTGAAACTTCATCATCACTATAATTAATTACTCTTCTTCATAAGTATGCTTTTCTTTCGTAACAAAAATATCAAGTTTTTCTTCTTTATAGGAATTTTAATTTTAATTTTAATTTTTTCAATCTAGATATTATTTTCTTTAATGTGAGAAATATTGTTGTTGAAACTCATGAATTTCTAATTCAAATTATAGAATCACATTATATATAAGTATAAAAATACTCTATTGTCAAATATATATATATATATAGTTTAAAAATATCAACATATATAATATAAATCAAATCATTATTAAAGTCCAAATTAACCCATTTTTTTAAAAATTTAATTACATAAATTATTGTCTAAAACTAAATTTAATTTTAAAATGATAATAATAACTATATATTTGAAATATTATTAACAATGTAAAAATTTAATAACATTAGAATTATATAAAAAAAATTTACAAAATAAAAAAAATTATAAAAGGGCTTAAACGGGCCGGCTCACGGCCCTCCAGGGTCGGCCCTTTTAAGCCCTCGGCCCTCCAGAGTCAGCCCTCCAGGGCTAGCCCTCTAGGCTTATTTCCCATTTGAAGGGAAAAATATCAAGCATGACCCTCATAATTTTAGGACCTAAACGGACCGGCTCGACGGGCTCGGCTCATTTTCCCGGCTCTAATCATTGGCAAGCAAAGCTCGGCCATATAAGCCTAGAAGGTTCTTTTTTTCCCCCCTTCCGGGTTAACAGGGAGTCCTCATTTTGATTTTATTCCTTTAAGTTTTAAATTATAATTTTTAGTCTCTTAAATTTTTTTTATTTAAAACATTGATTCCTATAATTAAATAAAAACCTAAATCATTTTGTCCTATAAGGGACCAAAACCTATAACTTGAAACTTCAAAAATCAAAAATCAAAACTAAAATGAAGACAAATTTAAAGGACCAAAGATTATATTAACTTTTTTTTTAATTATAATATGTTTAGTTAGAATTAATGTTTTTAATGAAATAATTCCGATTTACGTCGTTCATTTTTTTGTAGCAATTTTAAAATATAAGCACATATCTTATCAACAGCAAAAAAAAGAAAGGAAACGAATAAGCATAGAGACCTCAATATCAAGCCAACCAAGTGGTCATCAAAGAAGTGGATAAGACTTGCTCCCAATTCACTTTGGATTAAAAACCTATTTTTATGATTGAGTATTGGAGTTTATCTGGGACTGGGAATTAAAAGGGTGTTTGGATGGAAACCAAACAATGGTTTCAGAAGTACTTTTACGGTTTATGAAGTAAATATGTGGAGGAGTTTGCCTCGTTTTGCGGAAAAATGCTTTTGAGAAACACTTTTGAGAGTTGCCAAACACCTTCTAAATTGGGAACTAAAACGGCTTTTAAAAAAACTGACCTCTTAAAAAGACCAGTATATTTTAAAACATTTTTGTAGCCATAAGATGTTATTTCGTTACTGTAATGTTATTATGTTAACAATTAGATTTATTATGGATTTATTTCCCTTATATATAATTATTTTTTTATTAAGTTTTATCTAATTATTACATTACGAGGTTAGTAATGCATAAGAAAGGATGCCTAGTTTGCTTAGATAATTTCAGAAAACTGAGAACACTTTACGTATAAGAAATGACTTGAGAGGCTATGATCAAGTGTTTTTCTTTTTTGGTACCCGCCAAACTTATGTTAATCCTATACTTTCAGAAGAAATATTTGGCCTAAAACTTCCAGCCCAAAAGTTGCTTAGGGGATAAACTTGATGGTTATAACAAAGATGTGACGTGGTAATGATTTGCAAATATACTAATTTTGTCAAAGAAAAAACCTAAACAATTATTATAAAGAAAAGAAAAATATTTCATTTCAAGAAGAAATACACAAAAATATCCTCTAAATTTGAAAATAATACTTCAAAATTCTGAAAATGCCCTAATCACTGTGAACCGTGAAGTAACTAGTCTGCGATTAAATTTAATTTCCAGCGAAATTATGTAAATATCCTTAATTTAATAACAACTAAGGTATTGAAAACTAATTTCATAAACAAAATTTGGTGAATATCATTGAAAACAGTAATTTAACAACTAATAACTTAATTCACCTATCAAATAAAAATAACAATTAAGATAGTGACAACTAATTTAATAGTATGTTATTTCAGTGGGGAAAACTTAATTCCAGATTTGACAATTTTGTGATTGATAAATCCTTATTTCTTTCTTCCGCTTTTGACATTGAAAAGAAAACAATTCGTTTACGCTTAAGTTTATCCCTTAAGAGTTAATACATTCCCTCTAGAATCTGTGCATATGATAGTGTTCACTTTCTGACTAAAACAAGTAAACTTTTATTGTTTAAAAACTCCTTTAGGATAACAA